ATTAATTCCTTCTGAAATTAATTACAAATAAAAAAACAAAAGTTCAAATCTTTTTTAAAGTAAATATTACTCTTTCTTACTTTATATCCTTTAAGTTAGCTCTTCTTTCCGACAATATATTTCCATTTTAATTAATTACTTCCTAAAATTTGAATTTGAAAATTTGAACTGAAATTTATGGAAGAAAGAAAAAAAGACTATAAATTTTCTGGCATATAAAAGACGATGAAATGAATATATTTCTTAAATAAAGGTCATATCAATTGACATTGTATATCGGCTGTCAACAAATTTAATAGAGAATTTTTTGAGGTTTAATTTTAATTTATAAAATTTACATTATTGTTTTTTGAAATTAATTTCAACTATAGAATTAATTTCTTGCAAAAAAAGTATTATAATTTCATATTATCAAAAGTTTTTGTTATTTATGATAAACATTTCAAATTTCACATTTTTTAATTATCTATTAATTGTTAATTGACAGCAAATCAATACCTTAATACGTATTTGTCAACATATATGCGAATTTTTATTGCTTTATCAAATATGCAACAACAACAACAATCACAGCAACAGCAACAAATAGCAACAACAACAACAACAACAACAACAACAATTAATTAACACAACAACAACAGCAACAACAGCAACAACAGCAACAACAATTAACACAATAACAATAGCAACAACAACAACAATTAACACAATAACAATAGCAACAATAGCAACAACAATAATTAAACACATTTCTCTTATTTAATCCCTAAATTAATTTACATTAAATCGTTTAATTTCTTATATACTGTAACTGTATTAATGAAAAATGAATTAATTGATTTAAAATACTTAAATTTTACTTTCATGTGCTACTATTTAATTTTTCCTAGCACAATAATTTTATGCATTCTTTTAAGGTTTGATTTAGCGATGAAGTAATTATCATTATTATAATTAGCGTAAAAATTTTCCTTACTTTAAACTAATTATATTTTCATATAATTAATTAATTAGGAATAAGAGGTGTGTCAACAAGAATGATATGATAATTTAGTGATTAGATTAGAGATTTGTTGAATATTTATTTCAATAATAAACGAAATTGATCTACGGATTAATTGATTCAGTTCATTTCCAGTCATTCCGATTCATTTGACTATTTCAATTGTCATTTCACATTTTACTTATCCGTTCTCTAACCACAAAATTTAATATCACAACATTAAAATACATTCATTGCATTATTCATTAATAAGTATAAGTAGAAATGAACAGATAAGGTAAACAAATAAACAAACAAATGTGTATAACAATTGTCGTCGCATACTTATAATTGATGCTTTATTAAATTTCATAATACCAAGGTTGAATTTAAATTCTAAACATATTAGATTATTTGAAAAAATTCATTCATGGCTTAATCTAATTTTCAAATATACATTAGCAAATGAATTTCACAAATTTAAAATTTAAATTTAAATTTTATTCATCGTTGTACTTTTTGCATTCTTAGACAGCGATGGGAGGAAAAAAGCAATTTATATACATTTTCAAAAAGTACAATTAAATCATCGTAGCAAACCTGAAATTACTTAATTGATTAATTAATTAATTAATCAATTACTGCAACATTGTTGTTTTTCATTATGAACATACTTTAAGAATGATATTTCAATTAATATTTAACTTTAAATTAAATTACTGCACATTGTTCTTACACTTCGAAATGTTTTTAATATGAGAATGTTCATTTTTTTTTAGCTTTAAAATGTATGAAATTTTATTGATAATTAGAATTGGTAGGTATTTAAAAATCGAAATAATCAAAAGTTATAAATTTTAAATGACCAATTGTTGATCTTTTTTTACAAACCATTACTTGACCACATTACTTGGCTTGACCAGTTGATCTTTTTTTACAAGCCATTACTTGACCACACTATTGATCACTACTTGGCCAGTTGGCCTTTTTTTTACAAGCCATTACTTGACTGCACTATTGACCATTACTTGACCAGTTGACCTTTTTTTACAAGCTATTACTTGACCACTACATGACCATTACTTGACCAATTGATCTTTCTTTACAAAAAAAGAAAATTTGATAATATGCATTCATATATAGTAGAATAAGTTAATACATCTCTCTATAACGTTGCTTTTACTGAAATTTACATATTTACTAATTTCATTAATTTCAATCTTTGACCTTTCAATTATTTAAATATGAAATAAACAAAAGATTAGGTGGAGTAAAGGAAATTTATATATATTTGTTATTTGTCTTGTCGTAAAAAATTTTTTGCCAAATATTTCAAATACTCATTTCACAACAATGATGTAATCAATATTTCAAAGAAGGAATTTCAACAGAGAAAAAGAAAGCGAAATAGCAATATTGTGAAATTCCCAAATTTAATAAACTACACTTTTCCATGACAAATTTAAATTTCATCAAATCATTTCAACTTCTAAGAGAAAAAGAACTTTTTGCTTACTTTATTATATAATCTATAATTAAATCATATAATTAACATTTCATAATTAACATTTATGACACATAAATAATCTTTGATCATTTAATCTTTGATTGTTACATAAAATATCAAAAATGACGTAAATGTCACATAAAATAAGTAAATTTATTAAAGAAAATTAAATTATATGAAATTGTTAGCAAAAAAAATTGCACGAAATTGCATTGCATATTTGTTTGCATGCATTATGCATGCTAAAATGCAGTTATGGCTATATATACATATAGTTATAATTGCATGTTGAGTAAAATTTTTGTTACTTTAATGAAGAAATTTAATACCGCAATAATTACAACTTGAACAGATATAATAATTAATTGTTTTAAATTGTTGTAAAGTCATCTGTTTAGTAATTGTCTTTGCGATATTTTACTGCATCATCATCACAACATATCAGTTTTCCTGTTCCACTAATTATCATTAATTAAACTTTCAGTAAAATGTTGTTGTTCTCTATTAGGGCTGCAATATTTTACTATTTTATAACTTCACTCGTTTTAATTTTATATATGTAATTTAATATAATTTAAGTATTATATTTATTGCTATTATTCGATTTTTAGTTTTTCATTTTTGATTAAAATTAAAATTCAATTTAGGTCATTTTTATTCATCCATCTGTTTACTTACAAAATTTTACTGTTTTATAAATTTGTTTTATAACTTCATTCATTTTTATTTTATATGTAATCTAATATAATTTAAGTATTACATTAATATTCGTATTTTAGTTTTTCATCATTGATTAAAGTTAAAGTTCAATTTAGGTCATTTTCATTCATCCATCTTTTAGAGAATTTTATACTTCCAACAAAAAACAAAATCCAATCTGAGACATAGTGCCATATGTATGAATTATATTATAAAGATTAAAAATTGTATTTTATCCGATTATTAAATTTCAAAAGAAAAAAAAAGGAAATTTAAACTGTCGAATATGACCTATAAGATGGCTGCCATTGTTGACCTTAGCCTTAAACTGTCGAATATGACCTACAAGATGGCTGCTATTGTTGACCTTAGCCTTTGTTTAAATTTCGAAAAATCTTTTCGTGAAATTTTCCATCCATTACCATTTAAAGTTATAAAATATATTTGTTGAATTTTTCATCAAAAAATGTTGAAATTTGATAAATTGCCAAATTCACCCCTTCCTCTTCCCTCCCCCACAATTAAAATGACATAAATAATTATGAAATCAACTTATCAATGAACTTATCTCATTTCAATCAATTAATCAATCATAAGCTATTAATTCTTTATTCTTTGATCTTACCACCTCATGTTTTTAATTCCATTTTATAAATGGGATTAAAATTTTTCATAAATGATTTTTAGATATAATTATATAATTGTTTAATTATCGCTTTACTTACTTGTTATTTATCGTTAATGAGATGTAATTAATTATTATTAAAACTTAATTCATTCTAAATTTAAATTTTAAGCAATTTATTGAAAATCTAATATAAATTTTAATTTAATACACATAATTTCTCTCTCATTTTTATTGCACCTCTACTATTTCCATCTTATCAATATAATTTATTAATTTTTTAATTACTATTAATATATTTAATCATTTAATTACTATTAAAATTTAATTCATTTTAAATTCCAATTTAAATGATTTATTGAAATTCTACTGTAAATTTTAATATAATGTATATAATTTTTCTCGCACTTTTATTAGTACCTTTACTATTTCCATCTTATCATTATAATTTATTAATTTTTTAATTACGATTAATATATTTAATTATTTAATTACTCTGTAAATTTCAGTATAATGTATATGATTTTTCTCGTACTTTTATTAGTACCTTTACTATTTCCATCTTATCAATATAATTTATAAACAAAATTATCAATTATTTATCAGGATATTGATAATTTTATTTTTCAGGATACATAATGCTTTAAATCCACGCAAGTCTTTCAAATAATTTATGCTACACAAATCATTCCATTAATTACATCTGTTACTATTTCAAAATGATTATCATATTCCAGGAAAGCTGCCCCATTTAATTGAATGCTCAATACGAACGATTTCATATCATTCATTTATCATACTAGCAAATTTATTCATTTCCTATCTTTTATTCTAATAATAAATTATCTGATATAAAATTAATGAATTAAAACAAAAAGAATTTTAATTCATCTAAATGAAAATTAAAAATTAAATATTACTAACAATCAAAATGCGCAATATGAAAGAATAATATCAGCTAATGCAATATTACTACGTATTATTAAAATTTCTTTCATTCATTCATATACTATTTCTATTTGTTAATTTCTACTGTAAAATTATTGATCGAAGGATAATAATAAATTATTGATTACTTTCAAGCTAATTTACTAATTAACTAATAATTAGTACGAATAAAAAAAAAACATATAATGGATGTGACAATATTGATAATATTTGCAATACGATTACCAATCTTATATGGAATGTTGCAACGTGTTGATTTTACTGAAACTGATCCAGCCTGTAATTTAATGATACCAATTTACAATCAAAATATTATTTCACCACTGAAACAAACCATTTTTAAAATACGAATTTTTGATAGTAATGATCGTGAAACATTCGAATATGATGCGGAAAATAGGAAAATTTTACAAGGTTTTCATTTTTTCACCTTTGTTTTTTTTAATTTTTATTTTTTAACTTTTTATTTTTTATTTTAAAAAATTTTATTTCCAAAATATTTAATTAATTAATTATTTAATTATTTAATTATTCAAATTTTTACATTTACAACCTAAAAAAAAGGCTTTTTTTTATTAATTAAAATTATTTTTACTAAATTTATTTCCAAATTTGTAATTACAAATTGTTTCAAATTATTTTTAATTGTTTTGTTTTTGAAGGAAAAAAATTTTGAAATTTCAAATCTTAAATAATTTTTAATTCTATTATAATAGTTTAAGTTATAAATATTTAAATTTTGATATTTGTATATAACAATTGAAATAAATTTACCATTAGCATAATATTTGATAATTAATTTTGTTTTTGATTTATTTGATTGAACGGTATTTATAGTACGGGTGGAAGGTGGTCCATTTGAACGAGCGCAAATACAGGCTCGTTCAATTATCAATCCAACAGTTCAAACAGGACGATTCGTTTCACCGATACCGAACTATTTCAAACTTGTCAATTGTAGCGGTAATTATGGTCAGTTTAAAAGCTCTCATTTAATTGATATCTTTTATGACAGCCTTTATTTTTCCATTTTTATTCCTATTCCATTATTTCGAGTAAAATTTTAAAAGGGATTTTTTCTTTAGTTTTAATACTAAAATTTGAAATGACTCGATTTATTTTAATCGTTGAATTCATTATTTATATTTTATTTAATTTTAACTTTTGTTTTTGCATTTAAATCGCATTCTAATTTTATATGAAAATATGAATGTTATTTATAAAAGTTAATTTTTGTTAATATAACTATCAAAAACCACTTTACTTAAATCCATTTCAAGAAATGATAATTGATAATACGATTTAGGCCTTACAATTATTATTATTATTTGTTAAATTAAATATACAAAATAGGCATATATATGGAAATGCCCTAAACTTGATTACATTTTAAAATATTTATTAAATTTGAAATATATTAGAATTGCTCTATTTCAATAAATGATAATTGATAATATAATTTAGGCTTTGCAATTACTATTATTATATGTTAAATTAAATATACAAAAAAAATTTCTTAAACTTGATTTCAAAATTAGAATGATATGTTTGTTATAGGAAGTGCTATAATTAACGATGGTATTGTATCCAGACGACATGCCAGTCTTAGGTGGCAACCACCGAATGTTCCATCAGGCGCAATTATCTTCTTAGCAAGTGTTATACACTCTAAACAGTTGTATCATATCCGGTCCTCTTTTCTTTCGCCAGTTTCTAATTCTACTCGATGTTTGTTTTAAAACTATTTAATTTTTTTTCTTAAAATTATTTCAAATTTTCTTTTTTTTGAACATAACATTTAATTTCTGTTTATTAATTTTGATTTAATTATCATTCGTTTTCAATTAGCAATATAAATGTCAATATGTGGTGATTAATTTTAACTATAATTTTAGTTAAATATTAAATAAATACATCGTAAGTTTTATCATACAACTCGTAAGTATTATTAAATAAGTATTATCATACAACTGTAAGTATTATCATACAACTTAGCTATTATCATACAACTTAGGTATTATCATACAACTCGTAAATATTATTAAATAAATCGTAAGTATTATCATACAACTCATCTTATTCTCAAATATCAGTGTTGAAAAAAAAGTTATAGTTGAGAGTAGAGAAGAAAATTTTTAAAATGATTTTAAAATAAATTTTTAGTAACAAAACAAGGTTGTGGTACTTTATATGGATGTTTTAAAATTGGTAATCATCAGTGCTTATTTGGTGAAACATGTTATTTTTCACTAAAATGGCGTTGTTATAAGAAATCGATGATTGTTGAAGCAACACATTATGGTCATATCGCTTCATTTGGTTTAACTGAAGTATGCAAATTTATTTTTAATAATTTAATTCTATAATTAATTTAACACTTTTGATTGCTTAACACTTTAATTTCATAATTAAATTTTAATTAAAAAATGAAATAATTGTAATTGAAAATATATTTAATATTAAATATGTTGAAGGAAGAAAATGAAATTAAATATAATAATTTAATAAGCATAAAATTAAAGAATAGAATTGAATGGATGATTGATAAATGATAAAAATTGATAAGCAATTAATAATAATGAATATTTTAATTTATTCCAATATTATTTATATTAATTCATTTTTACGGACATTAACCTTTAACCCTAATAGCAATAATTTTGCTATTATTTAATTGCTTTATATTTCTTTTACACTCTCATTTAGCTTTTCAGATATTTAACTATTAATATCATACTATATTTAATTAGTCATCTCAATTATTGCATAATTTAAATTTTGCATAAAATAAAAAGTAATTTATGATTAGAGCGAAAAACGTGCTGTATTGTGTATTTCAACAAATAATAATTCCACAATAAATGATTACTATATCACCGGTGATTGGGGTCTACCAAATATTTTCGATCGACCGCGTAGCAAACGATTGAAAACAATAAATGATGGTTTACGTACCTTTTGCCGGTAAATTATTTTCAACAATTAATTTTAATTTATTAATTCTTTATTTCGGTATGAATTGTTTGCAACTAATATGTAATTCTCTTGCAAACGAAATATAAATTTTAATTTTTACTAAAATAATGATTTTGACATTTTCTTTTTGTTTTCTTTAAAAATTTAATTTAACTTAAATTATTTAATTATAAAAATTATTGTTAATTTAAAATTCCATTTTCATATCTTTTCTTTTTTCTATAGAAATAAATTTTAATTTTATTTCCAAATTATAAGATTGAAATTAATAAATATTTATTGGAAGCTTTTTTTTTAAATCGTTAATTTTTCTTACAGTTTTGAAATGGAACGACCAAGAAGGAATACATCGGTACTATTATTTGGAAAGGTTAATTCATGTAAGTATTAATCTAATAAATCTTCATATTTGAATTTATAAAATATATGAATATATTCTATAAAGTTACAAACCTAAAAATTAATCATCACATTTTGTATATATAAAAATTGAAATAGATTGAAAAAAACAAAACATTTTGAAATAAAAAATTGAATTCTCCAATTTATTAATACCAATATTAAATAATTAATTAATTAGTTAATTACGACCAAGAAGGAATACATCGGTATTATTATTTGGAAAGGTTAATTCATGTAAGTATTAATTAGTTAATTAATTAATTATTAATATCATTCTTACATTTATTCAGACGGTCATCCATATAAGTTACGTAAATGGAGAATACCTGGATTAAATATGTGTGATCCGAATTCAATTTCATCCGGTGTAACCAGGTTATCATCATCTATTTACATATCATCATCATCCAATATTCTAAGTGCCAATAGTTACTGTTATGTATTTCGTATTTTACTAATCATTTTGTTATGTTTTAATTATTTATGACAATTGCATTGATTGTGATATTTGAATGCTTTCGTTACTTTTTGTTGTATATTTTTGCAATAAAAAAAAGAAATTTTGTTGTTTCATTTTTTTAACACAAATTAATTAGCAATAAAATTTTTGTTTTTATAAATAAATATTATCAAACATTTCATAATTTCGAATATCTTTTTTATCATTACATATTCATATTAAAATCTTTAAAGTTTTCCTCTATGAGATTTATCAAATTTGAAATATATTTTTAAGGTTTGTTTATATGGGATTTACCAAATTTAAAATATATCTTTGAAATTTGCTTATAAGAGATTTACCGGATTCGAAATATCCCTTTGAGATTTGCTCATATGGGATTTACCAAATTTGAAATATATCGTTAAAATTTGCTTATAAAGGATTTACCGGATTTGAAATATCCCTTTGAGGTTTGCTGATATGGGATTTATCAGATCTGAAATGTATCTTAGAAAATTTTGTATATGGGATTTATTAGGTTTTACTACTGATTTTGCATCAATTACTTTCTCCTGAAAAATTTCTTCATTGGCAATAATCATACATTAAAACGGTCAAATAAATAAATATATTCGAGTAAAAAAAACTTACTTACATTTGCTTACTTTTTAAAAGTCATGCAAAATTTAAGACAAATATATTAATTATTCATGCAAAATACCCTCTCAAAACTTTTTGCGCTAATATTATTCCATTTAAATTATCATAGCTTTTAATGATATCAGACAAAAAAAAACTTTTTCCATCCATCACAAAACAATTAATGAGATGTAAAATTTTTCCTCTCTCTCTCTTTTTCTTCACTTCTTTCTTTCCCCATTCTGCTAATATATGTAATTTGTTAAATTTCAAAATACATTTAAATTTGTCAAAAAGTTTCATTTCATTTTATTGCATATATCTTCGCAGCTAATTTTTTCATTTCAACAAAACGCAAAAAGTGAAACTTTAAAATCAATTGTCTGTTACAGTTCTTTTCCAATATTCTATTTTAGGCTAAGTTTGTCATTTAAAATTGCTTTCACAATTGAAATGAAAGGAAAGAAGAAAACCAAAAAATGAACAGTTAAAAAAAAAGTGAAAATGAAAATGTTAGAAAAGAATACTCAAGAGAGAGAGAGAGAGAGAGAGAGAAAAAATTGAAGAAATATTGAAATGGACAAAATAAAATTTCCTTTAGGCTATTTGTTGCATTCATTGACAATGACATTAACATTGCAAATCTTTCATCCCACTTATTTTTTCCATCTTTTTTTGTTTTACTTTTCTTCAAAAGCTTTATTTATGCTAAAAAAATAATATTGGAATTGCAAAAGGAAAAGATACAAATATATCATTAAAAGAAATATTTCTTCAAAAAACAACAAAATATCAATTAAATTTCAATAGGAAATTAAATTTCGACAGATTTCATTTAAAATAAATTTTTCATTGTTTTTCTAAAATTGAAAACGATTATTTTGTTGTTGTTTTCTTTTCTTCTCTTCTTAACTTTCAATATTTTTTTTTGGTGAAAATTTCTTTAGTTTCTTTTTTTTGGTTATTCCTCTTATCTTTTTTTAAATATTAAATTTATTTTCCGATTTTAAAATTGAATTAATGAAAGCGAAGTTTTATCTTATTTTTAACAGTATGTTTTAATGCTTTTTCCATTCTTCTTTTTTCATTGTTTTTTAATTTAATTTTTTAATTTTTATTTTTTTATTTGAAATGACAAAATTTTTTTTGTTTATATGTAATGAATTTATTTTACTATTAACACAAACAATTGTTGAAATGATAAATGAATGATAATTATTAATTCTAATATGCAAATTAGTTCTATTTATATTTAGTAAATTGAAAGTTCAATTTATACTTAATTTATATTTTTATTTATATCCTATATTATATTTATAGTTATACTTGTATCATACTTATTTATATTTATTTATACTAATATTTATACTTATAATTTATATTTATACGAAAGTTCAATTTATACTTAATTTATATTTTTATTTATATCCTATATTATATTTATAGTTATACTTATACTTGTATTATACTTATTTATATTTATAATTTATATTTATACTTATATCATTTCATTTTATATTATTATAAAAAATTTTTTTATTATAAACAATTTTAAATGCAATTAATTTCATTACTATACTATAATTAACCGATACATTTGATATATAAATTAGTTTTTGTTTTATTAAATTTAATATAAAAAATTTTCCATTCATTTAAATCTTTAAAAATTTCGAATTTTAAAGATTAAATCTTCCATTTGATAGTATTTTTAGTAAAAGTAATAAATTGTTGACAAATAAATTTCGATCTGATATTAAATAATATTATAATGTGTAACGAAATTTGAATGATGAAATTTTTCTCACCCAAAAGGTAAACATATTTAGATTTCTAGCAATGGATTTGTTAGAAAGCTAAGAGAAAAAGTATTTGCAAGCTAAGACGAAAACTATTGTGAACCAAGAGGAAAGCTATTTGCAAGCCAAGAGGAAAACTATTGTGAGCCAAGAGAAAAAGCTATTGCAAGCCAAGAGGAAAAGAATACTAAATTGCTATGAATAAAAATGAAAACAAAAAATTATCATTCATTTACCAGAAATAGACATAAAATGAAGCATAATGTTTCTTGATGCTCTATTTTATCCCTATTTTCTACAGTATGAACGGTTATATAAGAATGGATAATTAAATGAAATTATGATATTTTAGGTATATTGTAAAAAGTTAAACAATAATAGATATTCTAAATTCTCTGATAATTTTATCAATTTATTTTTAACTTTATCTATTTTGCTAATGTTATTGTTATTATTATTTTATGAAACTTAAATAAAATCAATAAATTAAATTTTTAATTAATTTTCATTCAAAATTAATTGATAAATTTGAAATGAAAAAAAGAAATCGAAATTTTTAGGATTGAAAAAAATTCTACATAAATATATTTTCATTCATTTCTTCCTTTTTAATTAAATTTTTGTTTTAAAATGAAATAATTAGATGAAATGCATTTGTCATACAAAGAGAGAGGGAGAGAGAGAGAGAGAGAATTGATTGAGGTAAATAGGAACGTAATTGTGAAGAGTATCTAGTTGGAAAGGCTTAGTATACAATCTATATGTTGTCAGTTTAATACTTACACACTAATGGCTAATAGGTCATTTTATCTAATGTTTGAGATAAGGGTAGCACGATTGCGAGGCGGAAATGGATTTGCTAAATGACATGTACGCAATGCTAGCGACTAAATTATTTCCATTTTCGTCAATTTTAATTAATTGCATTTGTTTCAAATGTTGGCAATAAACATTTTACAAAATGTTTATTACTAACAATTTCTTTTTCAGAAAAGCAATTTATTTTTATGATTTAAATAAAATCTATTGAAAATATGTAGCATTTGTATTTCAATTATTCCTTTAAATTATTTATGTTAATATTCTATTTATGTTATTATGTATTTATGTTAATGTTGTATTTATGTTATTATGTATTCATGTTAATATTCTTATTCATGTTATTATATATTTATGTTAATATGTAATTTATGTTAATATATAATTTGTATAATTTTAAAAGTTTGATTTTTCATTTAAAAAAAAAAAGTATAAATATGATAAAATGTAAGTAAAATATATGATAAGGAAAATATATTTCAGATATTTGAAAATTATTTATCAATTATTTTCAACTGTTGCAACTAAATAATTTTAATTCATATTTCATAACTGATAAATATATATTTCATAATTCATAACTGATAAAATTGATCGAACTTCGAAACTATAATTAAGTTTTTATCAAAGCTTGTAAAAATTAAGGTAAGAATTTTAAAATTTAAATTATATTTTAATTTTAGTAAGCTTTAAAGGATTTTTTTTTATGTTAGCAAAAAATAAATGTTTCTTGAAGTGTTATAATTTTATTTAAGAAAATTTCGAATATTTTAAATTTATTATTTTCTAAGAAAATTTTTTCATCATAACAAAATCTATCAAATAAATCTTTCAGTTCATTTCACTTAACTATTTGTTAATAGTTAACAATCATTCGATCAGATAGCATAATATCGAATATTTTTAATGAATTTAAAATAATTAATCATATTGTTGCAAAAGGTTAATTTTCATCTTTTGTAATTTTAAAATTTCTATTTAAAATTATTATTTTTTTGCAAATGTATTCCTAAAATATTGAAATGTCTTTCTTGTTCGTTGAATTAAGAAAAGAGAAAAATCTCTCTTTCTTTTCTTCCTCTCCAAATTGTATCCTAATTAATTAATTGTTTTAGAAATAAATTTTTAGAAATTTCAAATTCGAAAATTTTTTTTCTCATTTGAAAATACATTTGATAGGAATAAGAATTATTATGGAAACAATGTTAGCACACAAATTCATTTCTATCATTTGCTTAAAGTAAATTTTTTTGTTTTGTTATGAATGTTTGTTTACTTTTTCTAAAGTTAAAAATATTATTAAATGATTCAGGAAAATATTGCGTCAAATAATTTTATTTTATTTGCGATATTTACACTTTTTTTTACGTGACAAAAAATGGAGATATATACGTGACAAAAAGGATTTCACGTGCATCTTCGCCTAAAATGCTACTATCTAAAATGTCTAAAATACCTAAAATGTCTTAAAAAGTTTGAAATATTTTTTAGACTTTAATATACAATTTCTAAAATAACTTTAATATACTTAAATATACCCTAAAAATTTAAAATAACTTTAATACACTTAAATATACCCTAAAAATTTAAAATAACTTTAATACACTTAAATATACCCTAAAAATTTAAAATAATTTTAATACACTTAAATATACCTAAAAATTTAAAATAATTTTAATATACTTAAATATACAACTTGCAATCGCAAATTGTATATTTAAGCAAATATAAATTATAAATAAGTTCAGACTCGTGTAATTTCTACATGATCCATCATAACTCCTATGT